GGAAGGGTATGGCGCTTAATAAAGTTGTATTTCCAGTTCTTGCTAACGTGGGGTGGCTGGGTTATATCGAGCGCGTTTCTTCGGAGTATAGAGTTGGCGCACGCTTCGATTTCCGTAGGCGTAGGAGGTGCTCCCCACTCATCAAGCTGGTGGATCCAGGCCAGGAGAGCCTTTTCTTGTAGCTGATCGAGTTTGGTCGCTTGTACGAACGGAGAACGATTGGTATAGGATGTTTTTCCGTTAAGGCGGCCTCGAAGGACGAGCCGGCCGATTTGGAACTCACGCGCTAACGCTGAAACGTTAACCGATTTTCCTGCTTTTTTTTGCTCTGTAGCCTTCTTGAGTGCTTTCTGTATAGTCTCCTCTGGATATTTGATGCGTTTAGGCATGTTTGGTGGTACATATTTGAAGATGATGGTAAAATTGTACTTTTGGCCTGGGTTGTGGGGCGGTCATGGAGCACGGATATGTCGTTGTTTGTTGTTGTCGTCCGCTAGGGCAATGCTGTCAGATTAAAGTAGTGGTTCGTGCAATGGGTGGTCTAATTAATGCTACACGCCCGCAAGGGCCGCAAGGCTACTCTCGTCCCTGGCGCAGCTGTTATGGTACGCTTGGGCACACCGCACGTCCACTAATTACGAGAGCCGGATCGGGGTACGGGATACACAGTAATAATAGGTGAGATTTATCTGGACAAGACGGGCTCTCCCCCACAGGATCCATATAGGATGTAAACAGGACAAAGGACCATGGTTACGAATAGGTATAACAACAAACACCAAAAACATGAGGGAAGTAGGCCAGGGAAGCGTACGACTCAGATTATCCTCAATAAAGAGCGAACAGATACTCGAAGACCCGTTGCAGACTCGACTATCTTCTACCTTCTCCACCGTTCTGTTTCCTTAGTCCCCTCTCGCTTCGTCCCGCTACAGCGCTACTCCTGCTCCTCCCGCTCAAGCCTCTCCTGCTCAATTAAAGCATCTCCTGCTCGGGGGGCCTGGCCTGCTCATCGAGTCCCCCCTGCTCACTTTCGAGACTTTTCTGCTTCATAGTGGTTCAACGGACGGCAGGGGACGGAAGGACGCTCAGCTGCTGAGTTCAATTGATTCATCTAAATAATCGAATCAAGGTAACTTCGTGGCAGGGCTTTCTGATGGCGCCCTGGATTGGTCAGCCGATCACATGACACATGGCCCAGACGTGTACGCTTTCTATACATAGTCCCAATTATTTCAGTAATCGCGCAACCAATGGGCTTTTGTCATTCGCTATAAAATATTAGCGCGGTAAATAAAAGCGTAATATATAGTCCAAATTCGGTTTCGAGAGTTCAAACCGGGGTGCCCGTTTCAGAAAGCCCTAATACTACGGAGTTGTTACAGTACTTCCATACATACGGAATACAGTGCAGTGTAGTTAGTACCCAACACGTGGAAGAGACTGGTACGGCCTCATTGTTTGGGACCTGGAGGTTGGAACAAGTTAAGCCTGGTTCTATGGCTGATGGGCTTTGGCGAATTCATGTTCACGTTGATGACAAGAAATGTTCTCCACCTTTCCGAACACCACGACCCACTCAAACCATCCCCAAATCCATCCGCCCTCCCGTCCTGCCTCCCTGAATGTCCAACACGATCAAGCACTCTCCTCCGCGGGGCCGTTTTCCCGTGCGCTCCCAAATGTCCACCGGACTCGTCGATGCCCCCCGCCCGATCGACTCGTCGGCCCCGTTCCCTCCCCTTCCAAATCCCGCCGCGTTCGGCGTGACCTGCCCGAAATGCGGGACCGCGTGTGGGGATGCGACTGATTCCAGCCCGCTGCAGGTCGATGCGCGGCGACGGATCGCCGAGTTGGAGGCGCAGGTGCGGATCTTGACCAGCAAGGCATCCACAGCAGGTATGCGCGAAACGACGCGGCGTCAAGCTCTGGTGACGAGTGATCGGAATCCTGCTAAATCCCTTAAACAGTCGATAAACTCGCCGACTACGAAGACGAGTTGCGGTTGCTGAAAAGCTCGCAAGCGACCACGCCGCCCGTCACCTCGACCCTCTCCTCCTTCCTCTCTCGCAAACCATCAGTCCCTCCCTCCGTGTCTCCTCCCGCTGCCGCCGACCCCGTCCCTGCCGACCCCGACCCCGCCCTGCTCGCGCAGCTGGCCAAAGAAAAGCAGCTCCGCGCCTCCGCTGAGTCGCAGCTCACGACCATCTCCTCCGAGATGGAGGATCTCAGCGTGACGCTGTTCCAGCAGGCGAACGAGATGGTGGCGCAGGAGCGGAAGGCGCGGGCTGAGCTGGAGGAGCGGGTGAAGCTGTTGGAGGGCCGCGATGCAGAGAAGCGGAAGCGGTTGGAGCGGTTGGAGAAGGCGATGGGGAGGATTGAGAGGGTGAGGGGGATCTTGGGGCAGAAGACCTGAGCGGGTGGGGATGTGAGATTGATCCGGACGGTCGTGAACTGTTCTGCACGATGGAAAAAATTACTTATATGAAGAGGAGAAGAAATTGGGCCATGAGGCAGGTCACGCATGCAGAGATCTGGTGTTGCCTGGATCTAAGCCAAGGGAGCGAAGGCCGGCGTCGCGAGTTTGCAGGGTCGCGGACTAGTCGCTGTTGGAGAGCCCACAGTAGTCGCAAAGAAGCTAAGGAACGTTGTCTAATCGTAGACGGGGACGCGAAGAGGAGATGTTGGCGCCGTGCTGGTTGCAGTTCTGAGTCGAATGTTCTCATATTGACCAAATATATGACTGCGTGGTCAGGGCGACGGATTTGGAGTGCGCATCTTCTCATGCGACCCGCCTCCGTCTATACTTTCGCATTCCGAATTTTATATACAGTTTATTCAACCACCTCTGCGTCTCTCCTCGTCTTTTCTTTCGCTAGCAGACTCCTCGCGGTGGTGAGCAGTCGGATCCTCGGTTGCGTCAGCTTGCCGATCACCGGATCCTCCGCATCGCGAACCGGGTCGTCCGGTTTGCACCGCGACTCTTTGGTCAGCGCCCGCTCCAGCACGTCCTCGATGATCCGAACCGATCCCCGGTTCGACGTCAAGGTGGTGAGCCCGGATGCCCATCCGTGGATGAACACGGATCGATTGATGTCCGTCAGCCGGGTCTCGAGCGCCTCGACGATCCGCGGATGCTTCGTCTTCAGCACATCGAGCAACGAAGCCCCGTGATCGGCGGGCATGATCTCGACGGGCAACCGCCAGTTCGTGGGGACGGTCAATCGCGAGAGTGCCTGAAAATCCTTCACGCCGTTCCCACCCGGCCGTTGGCCCATCAGGATCGCCGCTCGTTCCCGCTCGCCGTCCGTACCCATCGTCTCAACGATCTGCACGAACTTCTGCGCCGCTTCCGCCGTGCACATCAGCCTTCGCGCCGCACCGTCGTCGCCCACCATCAAGGGCCACAGGATCGCCTCCATCAGCTGCTGCTTCTCCTCCACCTGGATCTGCTGCCGGATCTGCTTGTTGACGCTGGAGGTGTCGCGGAACTCTTCCTTACCTAAATGGGAGATGTCGGATACCATGGCCAGGAGGACGGAGCAGTCGATGTTCACGGCGTCCGTCAACTCAGTCGAGATCAGAGGGGTTGGGAGCATGTACTCCAGGGCGATATCAAGAGGAGGATGTCGGCTGACGTGGCTGTACGTGCGGAGTTCGGTTCCTGTTAGTACAGTCACCTTGAGGCGAGACGAAATGCCTTGAATATTCGATAGCACCGCATCAACGGACGCGTCTGCATTTCGGTAGATCCGTGGGAGGACGAAGGTGAGTCGTGGGTGTGTTCCGCGCACTCGGACCTCCTGCGCGTCTTTCGCAATCTGGGTAGCAGTCTTCAAGATGGACACACCCGGTAATTCGCTGCTCAGGGTCGTTTCCTCTCGCGCATCGTAAGATTGATCGGTGATTTCTCCGCCAGGCTTTTCCCATACAACCGGCTCATCGTCCGAGTCGTCATCTTCCAGCCCATATCGCTCGCATCCCTCTTTAGCGAGCTCGTAAAGCAATCGCTTGTTGTTAAACGTTGAGACTTTGACCCAGGATAGGCCATTTTCCGCGACTATGTCCACATGGCGGCCTTTTCGAATGTTGAGGATGCCATGGGAGCGTTTCGCCGCATCCCACAATTCCAGATAATAGGGGATATTAGAAGATGCGACATGATGCAACGATGTGTTGTTGGTCTCGTCAAGTTGGATCTGTAACAAATGAGCTTGCGACATCCAATGCTGACCATGACTGACTGCTCTTTATGACTGCTACTGGAGGAAAAACCGAGATCGTACCTTGTCAAGCGACTTCAGCTCGGATTGCAGAGATTTATTGAACGGTCCGACCTCTGGTTTGTTCTGCTGTTTACTCAAGCATTCTTGAGCCTTTTTAGAGAATTCTTTAAGCTCATCTATCAAGTTTTGACATTGCCGGGTGAGTTCGTCTATTGATTTGGATTGTGGATCTGTTGAGAGATCATCTTCGGCGACCGACAAGAGCTGCATATCATCTTCCATGTGTTCCTCTCCTATCATGCTGCACAAAGAGCCCACGATGGAAGCTACTGATTGTGGGGGGGGTTGTGCTTCACTTCGAGAATCGATTAGTGGTGAGGGTTTATGTACGGGAGTACCCAGAATAGCAGAGAAACTGAAGGTTCGGTTCCATAATAGAGTACTGTACGGTTCCATGTTGTGGAGCAACCGTACCTACAGCTAATTACAGGCATCAATCATAATACACCATCAATATACATACCGGTACCTCTGATTAATTGCCGTATTTTGGGCTTCGACAGACTTAGGCAGTGCAAAGCTGTTGCTTGGCCAAAGGTGATAAAGGACAATAGTTCAAACGGAACAAGTTCGTCTTGTCCCGGAATAATTAATACTCAAAACTCCATCAAGTTCTTACATCGTAGCAGCCCTTAGCTACGCCGATTCTACCTATTCAATCAACTCCCTTTGTATATGCACATATCGTATAAATCATATTCTAAGTATCAACTTCCTTCGAGTCTATCATAAGCATCTCTGGCAAGGGCCTAGTACCATCCGAGCCCAAGACTTCCCCATATGCCATCATTTAGAACGCCTTATACCGGTGTATCATGTCGTAAAGGAACCCAATTCTTACCCGAAGCGCGAGAGGCACCCAGTATCAAGGTCATACCGCAACCTGCGCCTCCAGCCTACTCCTCATGCCTTCGCAGACTTGCTCGAAGCCTCCGACCACCCCTCTCACTTCGCCCTCTGCCCAACGCCGAGAAAGCTTCTCGTCCCACTTTCCGCTCTCGATCCACCGCACGCCTTCTTCTCCCAGGTCTGCCTCTTCTCGGATCTGTGCAACGAGTTGCCGGGCCGCAGCCAGACGTCGGGTGGCCGTGAGTGACGTCTGTCGCGACATGAACAGCTGATCGGAGAGATGCGACAAGTCGCCCAGGAGAGAGTCGGTCGAGCGGGATAGGTTGTGGAGGCTTATGAGCGGGGATTGAGGTACGGGGGGTATGCCGTTGGGGTCGGGGTTCTCTTGCACGGTAAGTGGGAAGGGGTTGGGGATAGCGCGGATAAGCTCCGGGATGATCCCCGTGAGCTCATCCAATATCTCGGGGGTAAGCATCGATACGGTGAGCGGCGAGAGAATACTGGACGTGAGTGATGCCACGGTCCGAGTCTGATGGGTGATATGAGAGGTAAGTGCTGCATGAGTGGTGAGAAGCCGGACCACCGCCGTCTCGACCGAGGCCTGGCTACCAAGGTTTTGAAGCTGCGCGACCACTCGAGGGATAACTTCGTCGACTGGACCAGAATCTTTTAACCCCGCGATGTTCGATGTTGCCATCAAGGGATGCCCGACCGTGGCCAGTGTGCAAACTTCTTGAATCACCCGCTCAAGATCGCGGGATATCAGATAGGGCACGCCCCCATCGCTCTCTGACGCGGAGCCATATTCGGAGCCATCGTACGCCGCAGCTCTTCGATTTATAGACGATGTGGAAGGCTTGAGGAGTCCACCGGGTGGTTTTGGTTCCGCGTTTTGCGCTCCGTCGTTTCCATCTCCTTCAAGCATATTCGAGGCGTCTGTCATCTCATGGTCCTGCGAGCCCATCGAGGCTTCGACTGGTTCTTCTAGTATCCCGCTCTGCGTAAGATCGTCCAGATCCAGTTCATCCTCATCTTCCCCGCTCCACCCCTCGTCTCCAAATTCGCCCAGCTCATCCGCCAAACTCTCCATCCCGCCGCCCATCTCCGCTACCACACTACCCGTTCGTGCTCTATCGCCATCGCCAGTTGTATCCAGGGTGTCGAAGGTCATGCTATCCCGCATGCCATGTCCGCTTCGGGGAGTGATCGGGGAATACTGAAACGAGGATTTCGATGACCGTCTTTGCGGCGTGATTCGTGATAGGTCTAAAGAGGACGGGTGCCTGCGATGCGATGCGGAGGAGCGTCGGCGCGCGTGCCCCGGGCTTGCGGGTGACGCGGATCGTTGTGAGGTGGGCATTATTGTGAAGTCGAGGGCGCGGCGGAAATTTGAAGGATCGCCAGGTACGGCCCGATGGGGATCGACTGAAATCGTAGTCGAGACACTCGGAGGAATGAAAGGACAAAAAATCAGGGATCGCGATGAGGGCGGCACTGGATGTTCGAACTAGGCAGAATCATGGACAGTGATGTGAAATACAGATGGTGAAGTCACCGGAGGGCGGAGATGATTGGAATCAACGTGTTGTGAGAGCGATCATGGTCCCGGGTTGAAGGATAGCATAACCAATATCATCTATTCTCGATCTACGATCTAGAGAGTAGCACCTATGCACTGTGTGATCCGAAAAAAAGAGATGCAGTCCAATAGTTGATGCACATATTCACTATTCAGGCGGATAGTTCACATGTTGTATACTGTTGTGTGCAACTGTGCACTGCAGTCTGCAGGGTCTGGTGGCTCGGCCTGCTGTGCCGTGAAGGTCGGGTGGCTGTTCTTTGTGGCGCAGGAGTGTGAGTGCAGTGACTGAGCGAGTGACCAATTCCAGTCAGGCCAGTTCCTCGATTCAAGCAAAAAACAATGGTTCTGAAGTTTACCTTAAAGTTGGAGACGGATGTCAACTATTGCCAAGAGAAGCGGATCATCAATTTTAGTCCCAGTGAAAGGGTCATTTTCTCAAAGGCACCGTGGCCAAGGGAAGTAGTCCATCCTTCTCGAAGGGTATCATTCCAACAGCGTCATAGGTGCTTTATCCATTTATGAAAGTATCGTGGACTCGGACCTGATGAAGCCTCTAAAACGTCGCTATCCGAGCGGAAACAGAAACTCCCTCATTGGGGATCAGGTAGTGAACTCGCATGCTCCTGATACGTCTCAATAACCCAGTCACAATACCGCTCCCAATCGGCCCAGAAGATCTCGAACGCCTTTGTCTTCTCGCCGTCGCTCAAGCATGAATGGGTAATACTCCATTCCGCCAGTTGCCGCCATCCATGCAGATTCATGGTCGTCGAGCCGACCATGACCTGATAGAACTCGTCACTTACGGAGGAGCTGTGTCGGACATCACCCCTAGTTAGTTTACGAATCAACCATCTAGTCTGACACACACAACAAAGAAGAGGGGGGTTTTTGACTCTGGTTTGGGGAGTCTGGACGTACCTGAACAGCGAGGGGTTGTCGGAATTCACGGTGCAGGGAATGCCGGCCGCAAGGATGTGAGGGTATGGATGCTCTTTGATGTTCCGACAGAGGTGGAGCAATTCGTTGCTAGTGGGACACAGTTCGATGCAGATCTGGCGCTCTTTGAACTCTTGGACTAGTTGAGGATGCTTTAATAAGCTAAACCCGTGGCCGATGCGCTTCGCATTGAAGATGATGGCGTCGTAAAGGTTCGAGTTCAGGGGTGTTTTCGACCCGCCCCTATCCAGCAGCGTCTCGCCAGCGTGGAACATGTATGGGATGGAGATATTTAAGGACTTGCAGGTTTCGTTAAATGCGGCGAGCTCCTCGCTGTAAAACCCAATGTTGTTGGGACGATCTTCAGCGCCGACAAGATCGAAACCTGCGAGACATCAGTGAGCACTAGAGTGCAAGACACAACCTTAGAATACGTACCGCATATCAGATCTGGGAACTTCAACTTCAAGCTGATACAGTCCTGCATTTCCCTTTTCATCATGGCTTTCGGTATCGATCTTGGGGTGGAATAGATGATCTTGACGCCAAAGGGAAATTCTTTTAACCTTCCCTCACGCTCGAGCTCCACTTGTTTGATCTGAACTTCTTCGAGAATTATGTTCATTTGCGCTTCATGGTCCAGTTTGCGCATCCCGTCGTCGGACGGTATCGACTTGTCAAGAAGCATTGGTCGTAACTCAGCATACATGACTTTGTCTCGGATCATACTGTCTATGGCTGCGCCGATGTACCAACGATATATGGACTCATAATTCATAAGCCCCTTGAAACAACGGGTTCCTTGGTTGAATCGGGCCCAAATCCTGCGAGAAGATTAGAAACGGTATACCTATCAGGATATGGGTTTAGATACCCATTAGTTGTCTGGCTGATTGCATAGACCTCCTCATCAGTGAGGATCATCCTGCGCCGAATGTATTCCTCCACGGGTAGCCGCATTTGGCTTTCAAATCTCTCTGAATAAATCTTGCGGAAATCCTTCCATCGCATCCATGGACGAGTGGCATCCGGAGGTCTGAAGGCAGGATTATACCCCGGGCTAAATATGTCTACGGTCTCTGTATCAGCTGGGAGAACGGTGAACACGATCTCCGTCACTTCCAGGTCTTGAGATGATAAGATTGGCTGAGTGCTTCGAATGAACATGTTGTCCATGCACCTAGCCTTTTCAAGAAGCGGCATCGGTGGTAGTTCCGAGTTGAAATGGAGGTGGAGATGGCAGCCTTTCGGCATCTCCAAAGCGATCCGATACAACTTGCTTTTCTCATGAATTCGATTCCGATTGGTGAGGAACTGACCTCCCATATCTAGAGTCTCGGGTCCTGGGATCGCTTCCGTCGCGCGATTCCCAAACAGATGGTCCCGTTCATCTTCGCGGATCCTTATGATGATCCGATTGGCGGTGAGTTCTTTCTGGGACGCCGTTCTTTTCGCATTCGAATCCCACGAGTCGCCTTCCTCCGATTGGATCAGCAGGTTCTTTTGCTGGTCATAGAACTTCTTCAGCTCATTTGCGCCTCCCAGCGCCTTAGACAGTTCGCGCTCAACTAGCGAAGAATCTTCCATTCCGGTTGAATAGTTTCGTTCTGCTGACGCACCCGCGGTTTGGGAGCGATGATCCTGAGCACGCCGCCTTTTACTTGGCCTGATTTGAAAGCAACTGCTATCTCTTAATCCAGAGCGTGCCGGTTTCTCCACAGCTGCAGAGGGAGATTGCCTGGGTTTAAGTGTTAGCTGCGCTGCAGGATCTTTGCTTCTGAATTGTCACTGCGCCGCATTCGGAAGTCGCATTCCATTCCAAGGTAAGCTTTTGAAAGACGGCTCGATCTTACCTGGGCCACACTTTGTCCCATGAACGCAGCTTCATCAGATCGTTTTCAGCGAGCGGGTCGACCTCCGCCTGCATTATGCCTGGTACAAGCCCTGAGATCCAACATCCAAACACACCTTTAGCCCGTTGGAATTCCAGAATGGGGAACCTGGTGTCGGATACAAGTAGATGAGCGACTGACGGTCCTCTAGGACTGTGACGATGTTGCCTTCTTTTGTAGGTGATTTCCAGGCAACGATTTTATTTCAACAACTGGATATCAATTAGTGACCAGTGGGGTGGAACGAGGCGCAGAGGCATCTAATCTGTCACTAATATATTAGCACCACTGGGGAATATTAGATACTGGGCTGTACGAGTGAGAAATCTCATTCCGGTGACTCGCCATATGACAATGGGGAGGTCCAAAATGAGAGGCGGTGTGGTCGCAAAGGAATCAAAGATCGCATGATGAAATACTTGTTTAGAACAAGGCAAATACCTTATTGCGCATAGGTTTCCAGCAGTCGCAAGCAGCAAGTGACGCGCTCTATCGGTCCTTTCTTATCCCTATAGCTAAGGTCCAATGTTGCGACAATGGACCTGAGCTTTCAGCCTTGCAGGTTGATCGCGACCGGTCTTCAACGTCTTCTTTCGGACTGCTTCAGTTTAAAGCCTGATAAACTATGGAGTTCTTGTGGTTCTTTGTGTTGGGAGAGAGCGCGCGCGGGTAAATAAGGAATGCTCGGGTATCTGACGACTGGCGCGATCTGTCGCAGAATGGCGGAGGAAGCGACTTTGTCTCTTGGGAAATTCAAATGCAGTTGCATCGAGGCTTGGATGCTGGATAAGATGAATCATGAAACCCATGAGCGCACAAAGTCACAAAGTCAGCGTGTTGCGACATCTCAATATCGGCGCAGTGATGGCGAGCAGGGCAGTGCTAGAGACCAGCGGCATCTGCAGGCCGGATCAGCATTTAGGGTGTCGGATTAATTCCTTCCTTTGTCCAATGAAGATGAGAGAACCTAGAAGTGACCAACCGCTAGTAAACTAAACGAAAAAAGGACTCACCTGCTTTACTAGTTACGAACTTACGATATTACATGTATTAAGTTATAGAAGCACCAGTAGTATGATGTATGGCCCCCCTCAGAGTCACCTGTCAGTGGCTGCCACTTTTCGCGGGGGGAGATGAGGCGAAAAGGGGTCATGGTATGGGATCAGGCTGGCCTTCATTCTTCGACACCTGAACCCTAAATCAGAACTTCAGCGTTCAGATGATGCCATCACTTAGCTACGGTCTACTTCGTACGCTCCTCACTTCCTCACTCCTCATTCCTCACTTGCTAGTTGCCAGACAGCCAGGCGCCCGCAATTGATGCAGCAGACTAAGGGCGGGAACCTTCAGCACTGCCCCGCCCGTGGTCTGTTTAGGGGCAGATGCATGAGGATTGCGGCCGGGCGTCTCGCCGGTCAAACCTCTTGCATGACAACGAATCGCTAGGATAGGGAGGAATCCAGGCAACCCCAACTTAGACAGAATTGAAATAAGCCAACATCGAGCTAGCCTGCTACGGTGCTACCAGAGGTATTATTACAATGCTTAGGTTAGCTATAGAATTCATATCCCATCCAGTCCGCTCTGTAGCTTCTATCCGCTCTACGAATGTTGCATTGTACTGCACTGCGCCTCCAACTCTCTTGCACGATCCGCGCTCTTCCAACCTTTCAGCCTGGACAGATTTTGCTTTCACTGCCCGAACATTGCCACTGGTTGACGTACGCTCTTTGCGAAGAGCCGCATTGCTCTTCTTACAAAACGATGCTGGTCGTGCGCTCCGTATCTGTGATCAGAAGGATCGTATATTGAACTTTGGTATCGATACTATCTCGAAGTTGGACACATGCTATGCTCCTGAATTGTCGACCCCTTCATCCTTATATGGTTGCTTCTCGTCTTCGGCCCCGTCGATTCCAGGTCGGTTCGGAGGATGGACGGCAATAACAAGAACATCAGCATGGACGGCACCTTCGTCTTTTTGGAAGGGTCGTTCCTGGACAACGTACAGCTGGACATCGTCGGGTTTCTCGCCATCCTTGGGGAGGGTTCCATTCTTGCCAATGCTCAGGTTGCAACCCTGTCGCGGATGCAATATATCCCTCGACTTCTCCCGGCTCCTCAGGCGTTGCTGCGGCCGACTCGTCCGAGCAAGCTGGAGAGTAACCCGGGGCGGGTAACCGCAGTGTATTCGGGCAACCATGTTGAACGAGTAGGACATATCGGACATGTTGTAATGTTAGTATCGACACTTCCTCGTTCGTTTGTGGCAGGGCGGCAAAGAGAGTTGGCCTTCCTTCTTAGAACCATTACTGACAGCTGCCACGCACTCCAGTGACGCCGAAGATATGCCAGAATATACCGTCCGCTGCGTACAGATCCGCCGAGCCAACAAAAACCTCGTCAAAGCCCGAACCGTTGGCCCCCTTTCCGTTGTTATCCTCTTGGGATGTGCCGAAGCCATCGTGCTCATCGTCTTGGCTATATATCATCGAGACGGATTTGGCTTTGTCTCGATCATGCTCCTCGCCTTTCTCTCCACCTTGATCGGCGTCGGAAACAAGTGGGAGTTGAAACTTCCCGCTCGAAAAGACCCGTCGGAGCACACGCCACCCGGCAACGTGGTGATTCGGTATCCGAAAGGAAGTTTCCTGGTGGTCGAATGCGACGAAGATGTGGCCCGGGAACTCTACTTCGCTCCCGAGAACATCGAATACCTGGTCACCCATCCATGGAAATATCGAATCATGTCGTTGATCGGCACGCTCATGCTCATGATGGGTGTCGTGTGCCTTGCCAATGCCGACATCTATCAGCAGATCGCCTTCGGTTCGGCGTATATCGTCTTGAACGCCGCATACTGGATCGTGGCGGCCCTCCCTGCCAAAGTCCACTGGGACCTAACATGTTTCGAAGTCAGCGACCAACGGTTTGAAAACTCCCAGAACAATAAACATTTCGTCGACCACAATGAGACCTTCACCTGCGCGCTTTGGAAGGCCATCGTGGCCACGAAGAGCATCGATTGGGTGCGACTTGACAATGCCGCCCCGCAGACGACGGCGTGGGACGACTGGCTTCATGAAGCTCAAAAGAAGGCAAATGATTCCCGGTACCATTGGGACGAAAACAAGACCAAAGTCTGGGAGCTCCCAGATTGGGACCCTCAGGCTGCCATTCGCGACATGATGCAGCTACACAAGAAACCCGAGAAAGGAGAAAATCTAGCATGAAAGGGTCTACCGGCCCTCAATTTCTGTCTGATTTAATGAGCGTTCATGCTTTTGGGATTTAAACAGCATTCATCTAGCGATTGTATATCTTGTGACTTGACTGTAACTATTGGGCATTAGGCGAACACGGCGTTCATTCCGAGACAGATCATGCGAGGGGTTCTTGACGACGGTTACGGAAACATCAAACAAGAGCATGCTACGATGACAATGACTTATGAATCATACTCAAAGCATAGGAAGGATTAATCGCATAAAATATGCTCTTCGCGATCTCGTCGGTTCATGGAATAGATAGGTGTCTGGAATAAAATTGCTATTTCCTACCACAATCCTTATTGCCTGCAGGTGCAATTCATCAAGGGGCCAACTCCCCATCTGGCAACCAGATCAACATGTCCTTGTCGGCGCTACAAATGAGGTTCATCCGGTGGTTATAACCCACCACCTCTTGCCGACCGGGACCGGGAAGCTCAGCGGACGGACGCAATATGCGGTCCTCCGTCTGCGCGCTGTGCAAATCCCACACCAGCAATCCCCCGCCCTCTTGCCCCGGGTTATTGTGCGCGCCCGCACCCGCGCCGCTCGATCCTTGCGCCCCAGCACCGCCGAGAATCGACGAAGCGCGCGGATCGGCGCCAAAGCCACCGATGGCATAGCGGCCGTCGGGAGAGAGGCAGATGTCGCCTTGGCCTAGCGCAGGGCGGGCTTGGGCGTCGCTGGTAGAATTGGCCGATGAGGAAGGGGTCGCGGATGGAGGGGTGCGGAGGGAGCCCGAGCCGGCTTTGGCGAGGAAATGGCGGAGGGAGCCGTCGAAGGCGTCGATTAAGAAATGCCCGGCGCCGGCGGTTCCGACGAGGATACTCTTACCGTCGTTCGTGAACTCGATTTTGGTCCAGTCGCTCAATGACTTCTGGTGAGAGCTCTGCGGTGATAATAACCGTCTCTCTAGGCCCCCCAGATCGAAACTGGCGAACGGTGGTTTGTCGTAGTTTCTCAGGTCGTACAGGAGCACGGTTTGCGATGAGGGCGACGCGACGGCAATGACAGAGGCCGAAGGATCATAGGCAGCGAGACTGGGGGCGCGGAGCTTCAGAATCCCTTGGGCGTTTTGGCTGTTTAAAGACCACAGGCGCACCGTGTCATCGAGCGAACATGACATGAACGTGTCGCTCGACGGACACAGCGTTATACATGTAACCGGCGCAGTATGCCCTCTGTAGTAACGGATATAGCTGTTGTCGTGGGTCGATAGGTATCGGATGGTATCGTCAACCTTCGTTGAGGCGTACAAGATACTCTGGGCGTGGTGTGTAAAGCGTGCAAGGTGGACTCCATACTTCTGGGACTTGAGTTCTTTGGCATGTTTCCCTTCCTTGCAGTTGTATATTTGGAGGGTGTCATCGTTCCGGGCAATGATGGCGAGTTCGCCCGTGTCGTCGAAATCGAGGGAAGTTACTGAGGTTTTCTGGTCGTCGGGTCGGAATCGCTATATGATGTCAGTCTTCGAGGCGCACAATGAGATGGAGGAGAGGAAAGTGAGCGGCTAACGGACTTTGGTTGGTCGGAAGGTAGATATTATGTCGTTTATTTTGTGAATTGGATGACCTTGTGAGGCCATAGAGCTATCGAGAGTAGCCATCCTGAAAGGTTACGAAGGGATATTGTCATGAAGCAGCTCCGATGAAGCTCTCAGGGGAGCTGATCAACGGTTCTAGAGTGGTGCGGCGTGGGTATAAAAGTCTCAAGTCATACCTCTAGCCAAAGGTTGTAGTTGGGCCGTAGCTATTAGTGTGAGTTGAGGTCGGGGTTCCTTTCTGGTCTCTGGATGTTCCTATACTGTGGGCATTTCACTTCATGTTCATGTTCAGCGTGAGGTTCATGTGGATAGTGGAAGTTTAGGTTCTGCGTTGACTGTGAGGCTGTTTGGTGATATTCCCCACCAGAGCTGCATTGGATCTGCAACGTCCAACAGACCAACACAACGTCGCACCGGCACAGACCACAAAGTCACAAACATCCTGTTGCATCAATCCGAAGTTGACTGCACAAATGGCATACTTACCGGTACATAACTGATAACAGGTACAGCCCGGTGGTCCTGTATCAAGTGTGTACAGCATGGCAAGGCAAGAAGCTGTGCCTGTTCCCGCATCCCTGAACAAACTTCGGCCCGACAGCAGGACGAGACGGTTAGGATGAGGGACACGCTCAATCGGTCACGTCGCTCATATTGCTCATCCGAGGATATTGGAATTTGGATACCTACCTGGGGTCCCCACATCCGCCGAGGACGCCCTATTCTGAATCCTTACGGACCCTAGCATTCGGAAGAGAACTTGTATCGGATGATATGACGAATATTTGATATTAGTACTTTGGTAGCATCTTTTCTTTTCATTCATTGGGATTTAAAAACCTTCGCTGCTCAATCATACACCCCAATTGTCACACGCCCAGCCATTGGAACCATCAAACATGTCGGACTACAAATTCGAAGGATGGGTTGGTGTCGACAAGTCCGCCGCTGATGGCAAGATGGTCTGGAAGGAGTTCCAGCCAAAAGCCTGGGAGGAGACGGACGTGGACATTAAGGTCACTCACTGCGGAGTCTGTGGGTCAGATATACATACTCTGCGCAGCGGTATGTCATCCTGTTCCCCTAGCGTATCCGATACAGTCTTACTAACTATCTCTCATCAGGCTGGGTGTGTTTCCATACCCCTCAACACCCACAGCAAATGAGCGTTTGCTAACCAGACCGAACCCAGGGCCCCACCGACTACCCTTGCGTCGTCGGCCACGAAATCGTCGGCCGTGCCGTCCGAGTCGGCTCCCAGGTCAAGCATGTCGCTGTCGGCGACCGCGTCGGGGTCGGCGCCCAATCTGACAGCTGCCGGAACCGTAAAGGCCCTTGCGAGGAATGTTCAGCCGGCCTGGAGAACCATTGTCGTAATGGGACGACGGACACCTACAACAGCAAGCATCAGAATGGCGACAAATCGTACGGAGGTTACGCAACCTATTCGCGAGTGCCAGGACACTTCGTGTTCAAGATCCCCGATGGTCTCCGGAGCGCGGATGTGGCTCCGATGCTGTGTGGAGGCATCACCACATATGCTCCGCTGAAGCGGAATGGCTGCGGGCCGGGAAAGGCGGTGGGGGTCGTTGGCGTAGGCGGTCTGGGACATTTCGCGATCCTTTGGGCCAAAGCACTGGGCGCCAGCAAAATCGTCGGAATATCCCGCAAGAAAGCGAAAGAGCAGGACTCTCTGGCCCTCGGTGCTGACGCCTACATCGCCACGGATGACGATCCGAGCTGGGTCCGCGCCAATTTCCGAACGCTGGATCTCATCATCTGCACGGTCTCGAGCAATAATATGCCTTTGAAAAAGTATCTGCGACTGCTCCGAACGGGGGGCAAGTTCGTCCAGGTGGGAGCCCCCGAAGGGAACATGCCAGCGATCGGTGCTTTCGATTTGCTCGGCGCGGGAATTTACCTCGGCGGCTCCTCCATCGGATCGCCAGGAGAGATTCGGGAAATGCTTCAGCTTGCGGCGGACAAGAATGTGAAGGCTTGGGTGGAGGAGAGAAAGATGGCAGATGCCAATCAGGTGGTGGTTGATATGGAAGATGGCAAGGCGCGATATCGCTACGCGCTCGTGAACGAAGATGATCGGCCACGTCTTTGAATATGAGGTTTCTAAAACCGAAACCATACATATAGACGGGATCTAGATATATATTTTCAAGCAAAAACATTGTTGGTCGTCCAGTGCAAGCTTGACAAATGCGCACCGAAAACAGGGGTGTTTGATTTCATCTCATTTCAGATATTCATCCTTCGATGAAGTATATCGAGAACATTTTTATCACCATACCAGGGCTGATGACCATTCAGAATTTGACTTGGCTAATATCAGTCCTATCACTCCTATGTTAATAGAGCATCCTGATCAGTACAGATCACGTGACTGTCGTGACACGAAGCTCTGAAGCACGTGCCATTCTGGCTTCTGGTAGCCAATCCGGTTTGGCGGAACTTGACGTCGTCGGGGGTTCAGGATGTGTCTCCGTTCAGAAAAACATCTGTCTGCAACTCCATTGAATCATCCATCATTGCACATACAATCCAACCACGATACCACCTAAACTCCCACATTAAATATCTTCTACGCTAGCGGTTCAGCATAGAGCCCCTCTAACCCAAGATGAACATGAAGTAAGATCTCAATTGCAACGCGTCACTCATTCTTCGACTTACCTCCTTCTGTAGCTTCAATGATACGGAGCAGAGGGAGTTGAACTCGAGGCTGGAGAGGAAGCAGATGCGCGAGATGCTGACCGTATGTGGACATCATAATTCCCAAATTGCAGTTGTATCCAGAAGACCTCGATGCTAACCGACTTGCTCCTAGACATACCAAAACCTCCTCCAAGGCTGCTTCGACGAATGTATCAACGACTTCTCCACTAAATCGATCCAATCCCGCGAGGAAGGCTGCCTCATGCGATGTCTCGACAAACGCCAAAAGGCCTCGGAACGCCTGACCGCGCGATTCCAGGAGCTTAACCAGCAGATGGCGGACAAGGGCGGAGCTCCGGGACAATAGGCACGCTCAGGGGAATCGGGTGAGCTGCGGCGTTTTAATCAAGGACTCTGGATATTTGGACGGACGTTCGGCATCTCCCCTTGTACGATAGTGATAGCGCAAAATGAAGAACCAGCCCATCCGGAGCTTGGTGGTCGGTCGCAGGACCTTTCGGTCGACCTTTCGAGACTTTCCGACAATTGCGATTTGTGTCCTTCACCGACCGTTGGGATTAACACTTGCGACTCTACAAATGACATCAGGTCTTCGCAAACAGCCTTTGGATATTTCGTAGCTGCTGTACTACACATTATATACATTAATCTCGGGTGTTGATAGGGCTGGATCTTGCCGCCTTAGCCTGCTGACCCTAATTCACTCATGTCAAACCCCTTTCCAGCCAGATTACTACACATTGTTAAATGGCCAGTGTCCCAACTATATCTGGCAATGTCCCGAATCCAGCCGGAAGCTGAATGGGGCTAAATTCCGAATGCAAAGTACGCCGCCCCCGGGGTATCACATATTAAGAAATATCCATGGCCATGGATTAAGCAATCATGTGTCCGTCAGCCGAAGCCTCAATCGAAGGCTGGGATGTGGAAAGGGCAGCGTAGGAGTGACCCGCGCCGTCTGAATGATTCAAATGAATCGAAAAGGTTATGCGTAAGCCATGATCACCCAATGACCATCATATCAAGGTGGCGAGATGATGTTGAACATCAACGGACGACCGTGAATGAATCATATCATCATCAGCTTCGTCGTCCTCCGTTGGGCCTTCACTCCCGGACCTAGAACCGACGGGCCGGCTGTGAAGCCACCACCGGGTCGGCCTCCACGGTTCACGGCCGCAAAAGCATGAGGCTCGCAGTACGCGCTTCCGGCGACTTCGAAATAGTCGTCCTTGAGAGCGACGTGGCATCTCGTGCAGGTAAAACAGCCGGGGTGGAACTTTGTGCGTTCATCCGTCGAGAGGTATAGCCCTTCGATTCCGGAATTGCAAGCCACGCAGAGGGAGTTGTTGAGTTTGTGGTAGTGGAATCCGCAATAGGGATGATCCTCGAGGACGTAAAACGAACCATCCGTAAACGGTTGGGTGCAAGTCCTGCATGTGAAGCCTATTTTCAACAAATCAGTATGACGCGGAATATACGGCAGATAAGTCCGTAATAACTCACACTCGCGGTGATAGCGTCCCGTCAGCCGCCCGTCCGCAGCCTTGACGCATTTGCCGAAGATTGGAGCCCCACAGCCGCGGCAATCGCCTTTGTTCGTAGGGCGTCTCTTTAGGGTTCTGCCATTTGATATTGTTGACGAATTGCGGGACACACTGGGGTTTCGCCCAGTTGCGGAAGGGGATGCATTTCGCGACTGATACCCAAAATTTCTGGTCCCTAGCCCTGGCTGGATGGCAGGATCCATTGGTGACTCAAGGCACGGAGAAGGGAGGTCCTCTGCAGGTGGCGTAGTATTCAGCGGTCGTGGAACATTCGGTCGATCCATACCGGTCTGCTTTCCGAATCGAAGAGGCGGGTCTTGGCTACCCACATTGCTGCCGGAGTATGGATTGTAACTGTCATCTTTCGAGGGGCGTCGAGACCAGCCATCCGGCTCGGACCCAGGCGGGCTTGACCTTGAACTTTGGCTTCTGCTGTCGGAGGTAGAGCTCAGTCCGTCCGATGATGAAGAATCGGAGGTGGAGTGACCGTATTTCAAACGATCATGTGATGCTGGTGCCGGGGGGACAGGTGGGGCATTCTCTAATCGAGGATCCATCCGTATACCGTTACGGCTGGCAGCCCTGGGTGCCTGTGGCCCATTTGAACCACTAGGTTGTCTATATGAGCCATTGGGGGCTGTCTGGGGTTGCATCCCTTGCAAGGCTGGGTCATCGTTACCCTCAGGCATAATTGCTTGAAATGGGCGATAGGGGTTGTTAGACAGTTCAGATGGCCGACGAGGGCGGGGAGGAATTGAAGAGGCTTTTTCAGATTCGCCGGATTGTTGTAAAGGAAATGTTTGTGATCTAGGGGGCGGCTGGGGTCGGTGGAGGTTGTTCGGATTCGACACATTGTTGGAATCTGAGTTGCCGTCGAACGGCTTCGTAGGGAAAGATGAACTCCTCCATACGAGCGGCTGTGGAGCATCGTCGAGGTGGTTGGATAATACGGAAGTGCCAGACTTTTCCGACTTTGTTGTAGAAGACCTGGTCAGGAAAGATTGCACGCTGCTGGTTGAAGTGCGATGGGCATGCTTCGTGCTTCCAAGAGTCGCATTTCGCCGGTGACCAGAGTTGGGTTCACTAGGCGCCTGTGGTTTCTCCTCCTCCTTCCCAGTCTTGCTACCGAATGGGCCGGGTGCAATGGTATCCATCCGCTTCATGACAGACATTCCACCGTTCAGCCGTGGACTTAACGGAGCAAGATGGTCCGGATTAACTGAAGGCTGCCGCAGAGTCAATGGAGTCGGCTTCGCATTCCGTTCTGGTGAACGTTGCTGGGGATTGCGGTTGTTGGGGAAAGGCGGAAATGCACAATCGAGATTCGACGTCAATTCCGGAGAAGGCGGTCTAGATGGTTTGTATCGAGCCGAGTCTCCATACATAGGACGTGGAAACTTTCGTTGGCTGCCGGGGGTGATGGGGGAGAAGCTCCTAAGACCTCCTGGGGATTCGCTATAACTACTTTGAGGCGTAGATTGGTCCATTTGTATAAACGACCGATCTATGAAAAGTCAGCGCCGAGCTCCAGGCCTTGCGTAAAGGCACATACTTGCGGCTGCGGGATCTATCCTTGGTAGCAGTCGTCCCGGTTTCAGGGGCCCTTCCCGTTTGAAGGGAGACGAACTACCAGCTATTTGTCGTCCAGTGCTAGCAAACGCTTTGTGATCTGCTGGCTCTGCTTGATTGCCCGCGCGGGTCAGTGTTTATTCCAGCGTGGCGAAGATTTGCGGAAAATGCTCACCGGATGTAGTTGATGTGCAGATGTGGTTTGCCATATTGGCAATATCGATCTGGTCTCCGCAGTTGGAGCATTTTATCGACGGAAGAAGAGTCTCGGAGCGCATGGTACCGGGCATATTGAGAGGTATTCAGCGGCGGTCTTCAGTATTTGGATGATAATGGCGCATCGATCCGATATGCCCACAGCGGTACCGAATGGGCACAGTTCGGCAATGGTTGACGTTCTATGTATTTCCTAATACCCAACACGCACCCAAGAACGATCTGATAGGTAAATGAGTACGCACGAAATCATCAAGGAGATGAAGTAGCTCCAGTGAACCAGCAGCTGCTCAGCATATCAAGTGGAAGAAAGACCATCACTAGCCGCCGCCAATGGTTGACTTTAAAATGTCTGAGGAGGATTGGTTGACACCTGAAATGAAGTCGCCAAGGAGGGGCCAGTAGATAGATTGGTGGACGGGTTTCAATTAAAATATATGAACCTGCAGGTTTCGGAAGAATACTCCGAGGGCATAAAGATACTAAGAGGAAATAACGCAGAGACTGGATCGAATGACAACGACATTCAACATGAATTAATCAATTAAGAGTCTGAAAGACGATGCGAAACCGCAAACCGCATCAAGCGCGACGAGGTGGCAGGATAAAGGTTCGATATGTTTAACAGTTTAAGTGAGCGAGAGACACACTGACCTCAGACCGTCCGAACTACACTGAAGCCATGGACGCCACCAAGGCACTAGCACTACGGCTCTCCACGCATCGATTTGTCAAGCGGCAAGTTTCATGCATTAAGGTAAGGGCTAAGATCATTTCGAGGCTCGAGGGAGGATCAAGGGGGATTCTCATTGCCCAATGCTCGCCTCCCTTCTATTCAGATGTCTGAGACTCAGAATCGCGGTCGATGTCCCTATCTCCAACGTCCGACGTCGAAACCCAAGAAGTATGGGAGGGTGGTCATGGGACGCTCACTCTGGCGCGTCTAGGAGTACTAAGTCCTATTGCTGACGGTTGCAGGAACGGTTCCTCTCAACTCAAGTTGGAGCAGCTCAACACAACATGCATTTTGCAGCGCTTTCGAATTTCGATGCGTCGGAGAGTTCGCCTATTCGAGACTGGACAGTATGTAGACTGTGGTGGATGTAGGTGTCGGTGGATGTAGGTGTCGGAGTGGAGTGGATTAGGATGTTGATCACGGTCAATTCAAGTTAGCCAATCGAGCTCCTCCCAAAGTCTCACGGCTCACCGTCTCACCCTTGAACCTCTCCCTAAATCCCCTTTCCGCTTCCTGGGCATCTGGCAACGAAGACGCCAATCATCATCGCAATCGGATCGTTCATTGGACCCTCCAGCAAATGCCGAGCACCCCCCGGTAGTATTGTCCCTGATCGTCATTTGTTATTGTTCCATTCGGGACAAATTAGACTCATGTCAAGTTGTCAGATGTTGATATTGTTATTATTGCTAGCCTCTAGGGCCCAGTCAACACACAAGGTATTCTCATTTCGACAATGGGACTAATCATTAGTTTAGGTATGCTGAGCTGATACTATGTAAACAGTAACCACACAATCCGCCCTCCGGTCGTACAGTCCTTCTAGGGTCACACAGAAGGAGCTTAGTAAGTTCAAACGATTTTGAAGCACCAATGTTCATGCGATGGGAGCGCGGAGTCTCGGTGCAGCATCTTATGTCGCAGGGTGAAACTGTCGACAGAGCGGACGAGTTGGCGACAGCGTAAGGGGAACAACAGAAAGAGAAGGTCAGTATCTATCGGCCCATTAGTATTACAGCCCTATTCTACACAACTATCGTCAGTTTTATATGCCGACTTTCTACTTCCCCCACTATGGAATCCTATCTCCGAAGTTCTGAATGCCCATCGCATGTCCAAAGAAATCCCAGTCGTGTGCAGATCCCTCCTACCTCAGGGTCGCACTTTGGGCTCGTGAATGCTACTCGGCCTCGCATCTGTTGCCTTTTGTTGCCCTTTAAATTAGCGCATAACACAGGTCGTCCGGATGACTGGGAAGGATGATCACAATTCCAAGGAACGGTAATACTAATATTGTGTAGCGGCCTCAGACTCCCCCTCAACTCCCAAGGACGCCGGACTCCTAAATCCTGAGTATCGTACCACAGATGCTCAGCAATCAAGTATCCAAGACGACAGGGACCGTGATTAAGCGGTCTTATGCAGCGGTCTCAATTTTTCTGCCCCACTCCCAATTGGCGCGTTTGGTTCTCAGAAGAGGTTTCGATTTTCTCCCTATCTCATACCTACTTTCCTATGAACGGCTTTATATCCCGATATCTCGCTACCTTATGTCTTGATCGTCTTGAGCGTTCAATCACTCAGACCACTAGAATTATCAGACGACATTTCAACTTTATTTCTTTTCAAAGTCTTTAGCGTTATCCTCTATCTAACTATCTGCATCTACATCTGCGACGGCCCGTTGTCGCTCGACGGATATCCAATGAGCATAGATTCCTGGCAATGTCGACTTTGATCGGCCTCAGGATTTCTGAAATGGAATCAGAAACGCAACTCGCCGGCATCCCACGGATGTACGTATATTTACATGTCTGAAAAGGCCCGAAATCATTATTAGGTAAGTAGATGCGTATGAGGACGTCGGTTCGTCCGCTGTGGTACTCCCTATTCCACCGCCTGATTTCAACGCCCACCTCGTGTGGAAGTTGGAACTGGTGGAATACTGTGGTACGCCATGCAACCCCCGACCAATTCTGGTTTGGTACGACCGGTAAAATCCCAGTCGGGTGATTTGCGAGTCGAAGAGCTGGGGATAGGAGTCCATAGATGTCGTTTGTAGATTGGTAGATTCTGCGGTGGCCGGTGACCATTCTCATCAATCGAAGTCCATTTCTCTCACTGTCGCATTGATTCTCTTCTCTTTGCACTGCGAGCTGCATATTCTCCTCCCGGATTAAATCATTCATGGTTGTAGATGCCTTCGTCTTTTAATGTCGTCCATCATTTATAGTGCTATACTATGTTCATTTTATACATCTCCCCGTGCAATTCCTCATAGTTATAGAGTAATACCCATCCGTCGAAGTCGTTCGCACTATCCAGACATGGCTCGACAGCGCTCGCAATTGTTCGTCTTTACCAGATTTCAATCCAGTCCCAACTCCTTCTCCGTTCGCAAATTGGGATGCAGCTCAACAACAGCATCATCCTATACTTTACTTGGTGTGTCGGCAGCAGTCAAGCTCTGCCATAGAACCTGTACATTTGTCTTGATTGGATAAATCGTTTCAGATAAACATGCCTTTCGTGGACAAGGATGGTTCAGGCTGGATATGGTCTACCAGCTTGTGACAAATATCAAAGGGATGGACACGGTAACTGGAACAAAAGTCTCCGAGCGAGAAGTGAACTTCATGTCCCGGTTGCTAATTCACATGGGAACAGATCTCTTTCCTCATATGTGATATGGCGCATCGTGATGCCTAATGGGAATGCTGCGAGGTGGGAGCGTGGAAACACACTGCAGCGAAATATCAGATACTTACCTACCTCAGCAGCATATATGCTCTGGGATGACCATGCACTATACGGTAGCAACGAGTACCACATCGCCATCATCATAGCAGCGATACCGGTGCAGTACTCGTGTTGGCTACATGTACCAGGTAAAGCCCCGGAGCGCTAGGGAAGCAATCAGTTGAATTCATAGCGTGATCAGTTCAGGCTTAATAAAGAAAGCGATCCGCAGATGCCCAATGGTGGGGCAGATGGTTGTCCCACGGGGTCTGCGGATACCAAATTCTTCGCTCGAATCAAACCTCCCTCATTCCTCATCTCCGTTTGAACAATTTCCGCAATTGGAAAGTCCAGACCAGCCAGAGTCCTAGATACATGGTGCTCCACAGAAGTTCATGTAGAGGAATTATCCATCGATGTCCATAATAGTACCAGGGAGGGGTTGGAGTTATGAAGGCATGCTTAAGAATATGAAACGGTTGGGAGTGCCACGTCAATTAGTGACATATCAAAATGCATCTAACACCTGCAAATTGGTCGGGTGACTCGCTTAACGCGCCGTTGTTGATCGAGACGAGTAGTAGTGAGCTTGAGAGGACATTCAGGCACCCCGGGTCTCCGGAGAAGCACAGTGGAAGGGTTGAACAATGAACGGTACATGTCTTCATCCCGTAAATTGCCTTGAGAGGGTCGCCATCCAGATCAAGAAGCGATATTATAAACGGGTGCCTACAGCGACGGAGTACTGGTAACGGTATACCTAGCAAGTATGTGTAGGTAGGTATCACGGTGTCTTTAAATTTACATGGACATTTTATCCGGCTGCACTGAACTCTGAACTCTGAAGCCAGTCAAATGTCAGTATCACACAGTCACAGGGACACCCCTGGCATCGTGGTGGGATGTCTGCAGTGCTTATCGATAGTGTGGCAGGTCGGATGAGTTCGGCTGGTCCAGACACACTAAACATCAAGTCTCCCATGTATCCCTTCACCTCCCGACTGGTATTCGACCATCATCCGTTCCGCTGTCGCACATCCCCACTTGGTAGGCAGGTAGTCTATATAAAGGAGCTGTTCAGCGTATCCTCCAAACATCAACAACTACAATTTCAATCACATTTAGATCATAACTAGGGCTATACCACGCCCTGTCGCCAAGACGTTTTCCAACCTCCTAAACTCGTAAGCTCCCATATATTCCCATCAAGAAGAGTGCCCTCTTCTTATGATGAACGCAAATGTTGTTGCAATTTCCCCGCAGTGGCTAACAATTGATGCCTCTAGGTGTCACCACCCGTTCGCCGGCCGACGCACTTCTCCTTCTGGAGGTGCATCGGATTCCCCCAAAGCCAAGTAAGCCAAACTTGGAACTCGCAATAAAATCACATTCCAGTCATGGCTCCTCACGCTGAGGGTATCGCCGGCTCGGCGAACGGGGTTGGGACGCTCGACAATCATGCCAGTAAAGAGACCTTTACCGTGGCATCCCCAAGCGTGGTCTATACGGACAATGAGATCAAGTCCAAGTACGTGTATCGTACCACGGATGTCACGGCTGGGGCAGATGGCAAGTTCTCTGTCAAACCAAAGGAGACCCTCTATGACTTCAAGGTCGAGAGACGCGTCCCCAAGACTGGTGTCATGCTTGTTGGCTGGGGTGGCAACAATGGCACCACCGTCACGGCTGGAATCCTGGCCAACAAGCGTGGACTTGTCTGGGATACCCGTGAAGGTCAACGTGCATCCAACTACTATGGTTCGTTGGTGATGGCCTCGACTGTCAAACTTGGAACCGATGCCAAAACGGGCAAGGAAGTCAATATTCCTTTCCATAACATGCTTCCCATGGTTCATCCCAATGATCTGGTCCTCGGTGGCTGGGACATCAGCGGCATGAACCTTTCAGAGGCTATGGATCGTGCTGCTGTCCTTGAACCGACCCTCAAAGCCCAAGTTGCCAAGGAAATGGCGCAGATGAAGCCACTTCCGAGTATCTATTATCCAGACTTCATCGCTGCCAACCAGGAAGATCGAGCGGACAATGTCTTGCCGGGTTCCAAGGCATCCATGGCCCATGTAGAGCAGATTAGGACCGACATTCGGTAAGGCACAACGACCCATTCTTTCGGACTAACCTGCTGACGAGAACCAGTCAATTCAAGGAGCAAAACTCTTTGGACAGCGTGATCGTCATGTGGACTGCCAACACTGAGCGCTACGCCGATTTGGTCGAGGGTGTCAACGATACGGCGGAGAATCTTTTGAAGGCGATCGAAGCCGGTCATGAAGAAATCTCGCCGTCCACCATTTTCTCCGTTGCATGCGTGCTCGAGAAAGCCCCTTTCATCAATGGCTCTCCACAGAACACCTTCGTTCCTGGCGCGATTGAGTTCGCTGAAAAGCACGGAGCGTTCATCGGAGGGGATGACTTCAAATCTGGCCAGACCAAGATGAAGTCCGCCTTGGTGGATTTCTTGATCAACGCAGGCATCAAGCTCACCTCCATTGCCAGTTATAATCATCTGGGCAACAATGACGGCAAGAACCTCAGCTCCCAGAAGCAGTTCCGCTCCAAGGAGATTTCCAAGTCGAACGTCGTCGATGACATGGTCGAGGCCAACTCCGTTCTCTACAAGGAGGGTGAGCACCCTGATCACACAGTGGTCATCAAATACATGCCTGCTGTTGGTGACAACAAGCGCGCTTTGGACGAATATTACGCGGAGATCTTCATGGGAGGTCACCAGACCATCAGCATGTTCAACGTCTGCGAAGATTCTCTGTTGGCATCGCCGCTCATCATCGACCTTGTCCTGATTGCGGAGATGATGACTCGAATCGAATGGAAGGTTGATGGAGCGGACAAGTACACTGGATTCCACAGTGTTTTGAGTGTGCTCAGCTACATGCTGAAGGTCAGTGCCAATTCATAGCATCCCATCCCGGAACTCGCAGTCGTTGCTAACCTAGTTTTACAGGCCCCCATGACTCCTCCTGGAACTCCCGTTGTCAATGCTCTAGGAAAGCAGAGGTCAGCTTTGATCAACATTTTCCGGGCATGCGTAGGGCTAGCCCCCGAGTCCGACATGACCCTCGAGCACAAACTGTTCTAGGGTTCTAGTCGCCGAGACCGGCGCATCAGTTCCTGCAATCCTGACTTCCCTGGAGATCGACTGACATTCGTTATCATGATTTCATATGTGCTTTGTCACTGCTTTTCTCTTCCAACTATTGTCGCTCGCTCAGATTCCTAGGTCTCATAGCTTCTAAATAAGGCAAACAATCCAGACTGTCACTTGCCATTCGAATGGTCCTCTTGTTGACAACCGACTCTCAAACGTGAATTATCAAGCCTGTCCTGCTCGTGCATGCTAGTATTCATTGCTTGGACAGTTATTTGCACCCTCTGTACATGTACTAGGTCTGATGCCACCTAGCGAAGGTGAGGTGTTCCAGGTCTATAACTGACGCTCTTTCCAGTTTTATCGCCGTGCCATAGTTGCGACTTCCCCCTTAGTGCAATTGGAGGTAGCAACTCAAGAAATCACATGATGTGCTGCAGTCCATTAGATCTCGTCTTTCATCTCAAGCTTCTTATCTTATCCCGTGTGATAGTAGAGATTACTGTAGCTACTCATTCTACTACTACAATGGCCGCGGTTGGCTTCGCCTGAAATTCTTCATCGGCATGTGGCACTATCATCGACCACACCAATCGATCAAGTATCGATAGAAGCATAACCATGGCGCATCAAATTCCTTCCATTCAATCATTCTTCCCGTCCTCAAAGGGCAGTTCCTCCAGATCTGAACAAGCTTCATCCATGAGCGGTGGATTTACTGATGACGAGATTAACTGCGCAAATGATCCTCCGGCCAACACAGCATGGAACCCGCAGCGAGAATATGAGGAATATGGCATTGGGAATCTGAATAGTGGCCCACAATGCGTAGCATTCATGGGCCGAATAGTGAATTACTTTGATCAGAACAAGTCCAGCAAAGGCCAAAATGCTGCCAAAGGATGTGTCAAGATGATCGTTCGGGACGACACTGGTGCTATATCGGTACGGCATATATTTCTATGTGTAGTAATCATTGTTGACGAGTCAACATTGATTTGTTCATGCCTATTACGTGCTACGATGGCCTAGGACTCACAGATATTGACTGGCAGATACAGGTAAAGCTTTGGTACGCTCACAAACCATACGACATCTACCTTGGCCTTTTGGTTACGATATGGACGCCTCACATATCGTATGGTGAGCGCGGTTCTGTCTCTGTGACTGGTGCACCATTGTTCACGAGCATCTTCCCGGAAAGGGACCGAAGCTGTAACATCTTGCTCCACGAGGATAGTGATCAAGGTGTACTATGCAAGCGCCCTCTCGGCCTCAGACAGGGAAGTCAGGCATTATCTGGTCTAATGACTCTCAAAAACTTCGTCGAGGGTGGCGCCGACGTCTCTGATGGCAAGATGCTAGTTTGTGTGAAGAGCATGGGACCAAAGAGAACCGGTACGCGTTCTGGAATTGAAAAACTTGCTATTTTCCTGTTGACATTGATATGAGTAGTTACCACCAAGCGTGGCACCCTAGCTACCGTTGCGCATGTTCGAGTGTTCGACGATACTGCCGAGACTACCATCAGTCTATGGGGCTTCACGTCCAACAGCGTGTCTCATTGGAAAGCGTCTCAAACAATCCTTCTCATTACCAATGCCGGGCACAAACCGAATGGGAACTCCTTGGAGGTTTGCCTTTCGTCAGAGACCTGGATTGATGTAGATCCCGAACTGACGGATGCTGCCTGGCTTCGCAATTATGCTGCAAAATTGACAAGGAGAGAATGTGCTTGCCCGGCCTTTCCTGATGGGGGTAAGTATCGTGCGCGTATAAACATGCTTCTCGATAGCATAGTCCTTGGAGCTATTAAAGGTATTCGTGCTAACAAAGGAAGTGTTCGATTTTGAGACTGCGCGAGATGCCCAGTTGAGGGCACTGTACACCTTGGCCGACTTAGACGAGTTGTGAGTGCGATTGCAATTGCCAAACACTGTGTGTCTGTCGGTGCTAACCAGATATCAGTGCTCGGGCAGCCCCCCAAGGCGAGTTGATCCAAGTCCGATTGTTCCGCGTTTGATTCGATCTGACCACCAGCATAGAAAAGTACATGGGATTCCTTAGTATGGTCATCATGCGGGTCAACTTGACCTCCTTGATGAAAAGGGCCATGCTTTTTGGTGGGAGTTGGTAAGCTTCAGTACATGCTGTTCGATTCGATCATTTTAAGCTGATGGGCCCGCCCAGCTGCGGCCTTCCCCTTTACTCGAACAATCCGAACGAACACTGCAAACAGTGTGCAAAGGAAGTTTGCATGAACATAAACCCTCGGATTGTACGTTCTAAGTGGCTGCAGTTCACTCTCATTTTTCGTGGCGACTGATGCCGGCGTTAGATCACCCAGCTGAGCGACGAGACCGGGAGCACGACATCGGGAAAGGTTACTCTCTCCCCCCAAGCCTGGGAGCAGGTACTGGGGGTTTCTGCCCCGGAGCTTTCAATTCTTTCAGTCAGCGACCTGGAAATCATAGAACAGCGCCTGTTATTTCAAAGACTTACCATGCTATTCGGGTGGGCATCGGAGGACAGCGAGACCGGATTCGGGAGGATTTGTATCTGGGAGGTGGCATTCTGAACGAGACGATGGCTAATATGGAATGTGTCGGTTTCGTTCGAAGGCTTAGTTGTCTGATTTGCATTAGAGGTGTCGAGTTTGATGCATGAATTTCTTTCTTACCTTTTCAAGCTCCATAGCAACTTAGCTACATCGTTTATACAAATGGATCTGCATCCTCATATTTTCAAGCTGAATTGGGTATTTTAGGTCTGGTGGAAGCCTAAACCACCTTGATTCCTCGTCGACGGATTTAACCCAACATTGCTTTTGATCACCACGCCCACTGTCAGATAAAGAACTTGGGGCAACCTTCAGTAGTATGTGGTCCATCAACCATGCCATCTTGTATTCTTTCCCGCCCTTGTCTTCGACAGCTGATCCTTTGCCCTGTAGAGAGACGGTCGAGTAACTGCCAGGGCTATCAATCACGAGAAGCCTCGTACCGGGTGCCGTGAGCATGGTCAAGTCGAGAAGGAACTTGGTCGTTTGGCTTAATGATGCAGTAAACAACTCGTTCAAAGTAAATAAAATGGTAATCAGGCTGACGCCTTCGAGGAAGGGCGATAGCTCTTTCTTTCCGAATTCAAGCACATTGCGCTGATGGAACGTGTAGTTGAATGAGCCGCCAGGATCATCAGAGGCACCACTTTGCACTGAACTAATTTGGGCAGCCAAGGCTTCCAATATATGATCCCAGGGTGCAAGATCCAAGATTCGCGGGCACCACACCGGAGGTTGCATCTCGATACCATCTGTGGGAAATGTTTCGTCTTTCATTTTGATACGGTCCCGGTCGAGCGCAGCAAAGGTCATCAGTTCTGCACCAGCCCCTCCTCCAATGTTAAGCGTTTGGAATAACTCCGGCATCTCCGTATCTTTATCGGTCGTATTTCTGCGTTGAACTGTTGATAGTGGGAGCTGCCCATCTCTGTGGAGCTCATTTAGGACGCATAGATAGCCCAATGCCCGACTTGGAGACCAACGTGCTGCATATGCCGCCAGATACTCCGGTTTACCAAATGCAGACGCAAAGTCTCTGTTGTATAAATGGTGCTTGACTTCTTGAAGTGTCTCTTTGAACTGGATGGGGTCTCCGATATGAAAACACTTCGAAAAGGTATTGAGTATCCACTGCTGAGTTGCTTGAGGCACTGAATACTGTCCGATTGTTTCAGCAGATGTCCTGCGGTTGTCCTTGCTCTTGTTTTGAGGAGCACCTCGGGATCTTCCCAAGTTGCCGTTTTTCTGCGGCATCGCTGAACTCGACTGCTGATCAGTGAACTATGATCTGACTTTAACTAGGATCATCCAGAAGGTTTCTGTCCGATTCGGATTGAGAAATGTCTGCCAGCTAAGAGATGCAACTAAGGCCTTCATTTACTGCAGCGCAGATTGTCAAATATGACTAAGGAATGGAAGAAATTGTTGCCTCCAGTTGGGCTGCCTCTGCTGAAGCGGAACTCCAACCCAAGGCACCGGAGTGAACTAGAACCGAAATTTGATAAGGGGACAGGAAAATCCAGATTCTTTTGAAATCAATGACACAAAGTTATGTCTATTACTTGTGCTCTGTATTAACAATTGAATAAAATGGTTGAAAGGGGAAATGAAATCAGGGGCATGAGGAATAAATTTAGTGACAACTTACATTGGAAGATCCCATGATAAATACCTAATGTTTAATGATGGGTGTTAGGGCGGGCTAGTAATACCAGACATGCAGCCCCTCTCAAATTTTGAATGACTCCACCACACAATAGAAAATGGGTCAAATCTCCACTTTGAGCATTTTTATAAATTCCAAAAAGCGGAAAATTTATTATCAAACGGTGGCCTGGTGGTCTAGTCGTATGATTGTCGCTTCGGGTTCTTTCCCGGTTAAGTTCACTTAACTATGAATGTGACAGGTCCCGGGTTCAATTCCCGGCCAGGCCCCTCATCTTTTTGATATTTTTATTAGCATCAGAATGATGAGACGATTCGAAATAGATTTTTATTTATTAATTTTTAGCATGGTTTGGAGGAATGAAAAATGAAAAACGTGGGAAAAGAGCAAACTTTGGTGATGTCGCAGGGGAAAGGTAGACCGCACATCACGTAACTTCCTGGCAAAACTTTCTGAACGGCACCCCGGCTTGAACACCCTAAACCTAGTTGGGGCAATATAAAGGCACAGTATTGGCGCATAGCCAAACTGAGGATTCTTCAACTTGTATATACCACTTCCTATAATCCTATTGTTCTTGTTATTGTTCCCTACAAAACCATATCTCCTAGTTACACAAGTCCTTCTCTCTTGTGTGCTAAGGACACTGAACTAAGTCAACGTTCCTATTGCTAGCGTTTTCCAGGACCTAGCCGCCTTACTACACACTGTAGACAGATGGAAAAGGGACTCGCGACCACGACTCGACTCGAGATGGTGAAGAAAGGGACCTTCTCGAATTTCGAGATCGCGTGCTTCATCCCGTCCATGGACAAAGAGGAATACAAGGATATCCGACCTCTCGAGAATCGCGAGGAGTGGATCAAGATCTGTGACAGACTCTGAAACGAAGAAGGTCAGTCCGACGATCTCGATTGGCGTCCAAGCTATGCGCTTTTCGTCCCGGCATCGGCCAATACCGTCGACCTACACCACCCGGCGGGTAACTTCAAAGGCTCGGGTGGCATTATCGACGCGCGTGTCACACCTGAGTTGAGGTTTGAAAGGTTCCCTCTCCATGCGCCATCGAGCACGTCTAAAAAGCTTGGAAAGTTCGAAGATTGGATTACGACAACAGTGTAGCAAGATTTGCCCCTATACCAATTGGGGATGCGAGAGCAGAGAGCTCTCCTTGAAAAGACAGATTATGCGGTGGTATACAGAGAGGAAGGGGGACTACGCAAGAAGCTCCATACTATGCTGAAGATGTGCCAGAGAACCGGCCAACAACGGAAATATGGCTTGGAGGTCGAGCAAGGCTCGACGATTGGTACTCTGCTGGTCCAGTGCGGTGTGGTACCGCTTGAAATCCTGTCATGTAGGTGGGTAGAATAGAATAGAATCATAGTTAGTTTAATAAACTCAATGTCCCAAGCTTAGATATATCTCAAACCGTAATTCGAGACCCTGTAAAGGGGGCGAGTAAGTGATCACGCTCATTTCGACTGTCCGTTCCTCAATTGAGTCCCTGAAGGATAATTTCCGTTCTATTGGTGCACGCTCTTTTGCTAAGAGAGTGGACGAAGCGACTACGTCAATGCTAGAGGCGCAGCGCATAGTGGAGATGAAAGACGTAACATCTCGAATGTTGACCCATCCTCCTAGTGATGGAGGGACTCTGAGGAATGCGATATGGACACCGAAACACCCATCTTACTGAATGAGTGGCATTTGACGAAGCAAAGCATAGCGGTACAGTTCAAGAAAATCGGCACAACGGAGAGGTTTAGATGTCGATCTATATTCCACATAGCTAGACCTACATCCATCTGTAGATTCCTCCACATCTGCTACCCATCCCCCATATCAAGGAAGCCTTCCAGAGGCGTTCGCTTATGTCCATCCATCCTTGACCGCCGCCGCTCCCTGAAGTCGCGTGGATGGTTTCAATTTCGAAAAGAAGCCAGCGACGCCCGGGGGTCTCATTTTATCCATGAAAAAAAAGGGCACACGATGGAAAGACAAACAAAAAGTAATCCTCCCACCGGCTTCGCCCGATCCGTCCGCCAATAAATGCGAAATTAAGTTCCGCTGCACCAGCAACGAAGAAAAGAAAGTTCCGAGGAGAGAGGGGGGCCCCACTGCGGACGGCCGAAGACAAAAGATGGGGAAAGAATCGAAGAGGGTTATATGGAAGAGAAAGGGCGTTAACGGAAAAGATGAACAAGGACCGTGAAACGCCGCATTGGTGAATCCAAATTCGTCCGAACCCGTCCCTGGTCGTTGAGCTGAGAAAAAAGGAAGTACAAAAAAAAGGAAAAGTTTCCAAAGGGGAAAGAGAAAAGGGCAACATGATATGAGTGGGATGTGCAGAGATAGTTTTCGAAATCGCGAAACTAGTTATCCCCGTCCCCCCAGAATCCAGGCACGCCGTCGTCCAGCGGCTCCCCAAGTCCCATCATCAAGCCATCATCGTCTCCCATCCCAGAGCTATAGTTTCCATCGTTCGCACTGAACGGGCTGTTATGCCCGATGAAGGGCGAGCGAATGGGCAACGTGACGCCCTGGCCTTTGGACCCGAAGAAATCGTTGGAAAGAAAATTTTCCTCTTGCAACCCCGAGCCGTCCTCCGGTAGAGCCCCCACGAGGAAATCCGCTGATGCGGAGCGACCGAGTGCGCCGAGCGGGGGCGAGTGGGTCGCGATGACGGGGTTCGAAACGCCGTACGGTTGGCTTTGTTGTTCCTGTGGGGGCTGGACTGGTTGGCTGACGCCGGCCATGGGGCTGATGGACGTAGTTTGAGGCGTGGAGTCGGGGAGCGGAGTGTGGTGCATCGTGGGTTCGTTCATGGGTGTCATGACTTGGGCGGGGATAGGTTGCGGGTTCTGAGGCGGGCCGGAGAATGGTTGATTGAAGGGAGCGGTCTGCATTGCATCCGGTCCCGGCGGTCCCGACACCGGGAAAAACCCGGGCGTGCCGAATTCGGACGGCGAAGGAGCAGTGGTGGCTGTCATGGGGTATGCGCGCATGTCCATCGAGTACTGGCCCATCGGGGATGCTGCCGTCGTGTCGATGGATAGACCATTCGGTGGCCCTTGAGGGTGATGATTCTGCAAAGGAGGACCGAATCCGGCGTTCGGGAACGGGGAAGGTGAGGCGTGCTGAGGAACCGGCGCGAACAGGTTCTGGGGAGGGACGAATGGACTCCCCTGGTTCGGCGCGATTGGATGGACTTGATGCAGAGGCGACGGAACATGCTGCTGTTGGTGGACCAGGAAGCTGGGCATGGGATGCCGAATCATGGAAAAGTCGATGGCGGCTGGTACGGACCGGCTTCGCTGTCGTTTGTGGCCACGTCCTGGGTGGAGGAGGTTCGGTGCGAACTGCGATTCCTGGAACCCGTTCATATGCGGATGCGCGAAATGGTTCGGTTGGCTAGCGGGACGATGTTCGATGGGGGATACGGGAGCGGATACGGTCAAGCCGTTCGGGTCGAAAGTCTGGAAGCGGCTTTGGAAAGACTCGAGCGACACCAGTTTGGCCAACTGCCCGCTGAGAACCTTGGGATGGCCACCAAGATGATGGGCGAGACATTGGGAGGCTTGCTGCTCTTCTGTGAAATCACCACATTGATAGAAGCCTCCGGAGCCTGAGGAGTCCATGAAGAAGTTGGGAGGACGATTCAACTCCACGATGAGACCTCCAGGGCGCTGTGACGCACCCTCCGCGCTCAGTGCATCTCCGCTTTCCAGCGAGATGTTCTTGATCGCGTTGAAAGGATATTCGATCTTGTAGCCGGCCGAATCGTTGTTGATATAATATGTAACGCATCGTTTTTCCGGCGAGTAGAATATGACGAGGTCCATCGCGGTCTGGCCAACTCGACGCCATGAACCGATGGTAAGGGAGCGACAATGTAGATGGTGGATGACTAGCTCAGTTAATATTTGATAAATGAAGAGAACCCTGATCAAGTACATACCGACTTTGCTCGAGCTTGTTTCGGTGTTGAGCAGGAGCCCATTCCCGTACGAAAGACCGCGGCCAAGGAGGTCCCGACCCACAAGAGACTTACCGGATTCCATTGCCTGGAGAGCGAGATATCGCCTCATGGATTCCGGGATATCGTTGCAATCCTCCCCGTTTTCGATGCTCTTCTTCGCAATATTCTTGATCTTCGCTCGTCTATTCCGATGTCAGCCAGGGCTCTGCAGGTCCACGAGTCAGCCCAACTTACCGATTTTGAAACCAAATCTGGACGGAGCGTTCGGTCATATTGATTTCCTGTGCAATGCGTTCCCGCACCATGGCGGTGGGAGTCGGGTTTTTGTTGAACTCGACTTCGAGGGTGATGAGTTGATCCTGAGTTGCGCGTTGTCGTTTCTGATTCTTCTGCTGCTGCGTTAAGGTGCTTTTACGCGGAGGTCGACGCGGTGCCGAGCCTGGGGTATGGGTTGAAACCGCCGTGGACGCTGGGGAAGCAGAGAGAGCCTTTGCCCCATCGCTTGGTTGCACCATGGCGATGGAGCTTTCTTGCATTGCGAAGGAGGTGCCAAGACCTGGTGCGGTGTACGGAGGGGTGAGTCGTGGAGGAGTCGCGGTCGAGGGATCGCCGACCTTCGTTTGTGGTACGTTCGTTCGACGGAGTGTAAACGGTAGTATGATGAAAAAGAATGGAAGAGTTGAACTGTTTTTGTTGCGCCTCGATGACCGAAGGCTTAAAGGAGGGTGAGGTACGGGAGAGGGAAGCGAAGCAGCACCGCCCAGGCGATTGCAGAACAAAAAGTCGGAAAGGATCGTCGAGGCTCACTAGTAGCCGCGGGAAGAAAGATGATGGGATCAGGCCATAGCCGATGAGTCGAAGAGGGGATTCTTTGGATAGATGAGAACAAAGGAACGGACTGGCGTACGCCAAACAAGGAGAGGAAAAGGCGGCGTCGAAAGGAGTGACGACGACCGCGAAAATGGGCCTTCAAAGGGAACGGGGAGGTCGATGACGCCCGCAAGTCTCTCGAAGGGGATTGGAAAAAAGATGGGAAAAGGAGTGACAGTGATGTAGCACTGGGTTAAGAAAAAAAGGGAATAAGGAACGACAAGGCGTCGAGACGCAAGTTGAGGGGGTGGAGGTACAGGAATAACGGGAAAAAGGTGAAGTGAGGAGGATTAGGAGGAGACGAAGGGAGAGAGGTTAGTGGAGGTGGTGGGAGTGTGGGAGAGGATCAGAGGAGGCACGGGGAACGGGAGACGGGGAGAGGATCACGCAGAAGAGCGGCAGAGGAGGGAGCCGACTGCCAGGGACTGGACTGAGGGTATCAGACAGCAGCCTATCAGGGGTACTCAGTAACTAAGGGCCTTTAAAGGGACAAGGGGGTGGAGCTGGAGTCTTAGTGTCTCGGGAAGAGGGAACTGCTCTCCAACTTTGAGCAGTGTGGCCTGGGGCCAGTAGGGGGATCGGTAGGGAACGAGGCAGATCTGGTGCAAGCTACGGTATGCGACTGGGGGCTACTGGCTGTACTACAGGGGGTTTAGACGGTGAGTAGTATTGTCTGGTCGGTGGGTATGTGTGGGTGCAGCCGTGCAGGGATGTGTGTCTACTCACTGTCTAGGCGGTAGACGGTATGTTAAGGCGGTACGTTTGGGCGGTCGGTCTAGGCGGTCTGCTCCAGTGCAGACATCCAGGACGCTCCGTGGACTTTGGTGGTGCGAGGGCCGTTGGAGCGCCGGAGTGGGCTCCCTCTGTTAAACAGCCTAAACTCTCAAACTGAGCCCTCACTAAACTCCAACCAGTCTAACTTCGGGTCCACACTTCACCGAGTCTCTGCTGGTCTCGCCAGTTCAAGTTCGGCCCAGTGTTAGTGGAACGATTTTGGTGTAACGAACGGATCGTGCAGGGAAGCCCCTGGCACACGCATTGCACTTGTTGGTAAGGGAAAACTAAAACATGAGAGCTGTTAGTTGCCGCTCCTCCTGTGCGACGCCGCGGACGCGAAGCGCGAACGAGCTCAAGCACACGCCCTCAGAAGTCAGAACCAAACGAGACTGCGCGGGAGATGGACAACAGGGTGGACCGCCAGCTGCCACTGCCCCAACAACATCTGATCGATCAGCAAACTCCGAATAAAATTCTCCAACCGTGACAGGCAGCTGACGAGCGGACAGCACGATGAGTCTGAGAGTCGATGACCGTAACCAATAATAATCGACACGAAGCTGGGGAGGACCAGGGACGAATCCGGATTGATGCAGTCATCCAACAACCAAACCACCTAGCTATTGCAGGGAACCATCCAGGCCGCTGATCTTTCTTACCATCATCAATTCATAATTCAGCCAGCGATTATGGTAATAATCAGGTACCAAAATCTACAGGCAATCATTCTACACCCGTTCACAGTACCAACAACGAAATAATTAAGCCTCAGTACCGACATCGGATCGAGCATCTCTAAAATCCAATCCTCCCATATCAATCCATCGGCCGTCCTGGTCCCTGCACCATGCAGCGTAACGCTCTCTCCCGTCCTCCTGAGGAGCTGACTTGTCTGAATTTAGAACTCCTCCGAACCCAGATCCGGACCGTTGCAGGACCAGCTTTTTGGCCTAGGCATGGTCCCGGAACTGCCGGTTGCGTACATCGGGAGCCGCCAGCCATGCCCTGCATCTCCGCCCTCTGGGACCTTTCCTGCGCCAGTGAAGGAATGTGTGCACTGTGCAGGCTGAACGTTCCCAAGGCTCGAAAATCCCGGCCAAAATGTCGGACGGATTGACGGACTATCAGCCCGTTGTCAGGTCAGCCTGTTATTACTTGATCACGACTTGTGTTGCTTGATGCCGTAAGAAACTAATCATGCCCCGCTCAACCTGGAGTCTAAGACGCGTCGATGGTAGCACGGGGATAAGGGCTGTAGGGTAAGCCCCTGTGTCAGTTGCTTGAACATGCGGACCAGGGAAAAATGCCCCCGCTAACCAAAAGGCCAACAAAGAACATCTGGTGGGATGTTGAGGTGTTCGCTGGTCGGTTGCTGACCTTGCTGACTCTACGACACGGCTCCGTACGGACTTCTGATGGTGGATGACAGCCCCTTTGTTCTGAGCATGACAACCGACCAGGAGTCCAGCCACCACCATCTTGCCGACCGATCATCTCCTGCCGCTTGTACGACCATAGTCGAGAGTCCACATTCAGACGACCTACCGCCTCGTGGTTATTATTATATGCCGTGCACGGCGAGAGTGCGAGCACGCCTGGAGACTCCTACCGATCCGACGAGCCCTAGCTGTTCATACGAGCAGTGGGTTCTCCTGGCAGAAGAAAAACATCATGTCCGAAGACACCATCCCATTGTTTTCCTGTGCGACTGGGTATTGTCCAAGTTTACGGCCTGCAGAAGCCCGACTGTCGCCTCAACCAGTGCACAGATTGATAAGGGGCAATCCCTTTAAATAATGCCTCCAGTCCACGAGGAAAGCAAGGATATTGGCAGTCAGCCATCAGGTCCACGTCTGATAGTCTAGGTGATCCATATCCTTACCATTTACAGTTTTACGCTGCATGGTAGCCTGGCAGGTCTTGAGCACGGAAGAAACGTGGGTGCGACGGACTACGGATGACGATATTGCGGGGTGCTGGAAGCCTTGAAGCAGAGAAGTCCGGGCATGTCATAAATTGTGGCATCGGACTTCCATTCTGAGATGGTATCAACTCTACTAGACCTTGACCCGGTATACCGCAGCATCATCCCTCCTGCGGGAATCTCATGAAAGGTGTTAGGTGAGGGATGGATTTTCGAAGATAGCGCTTAAAGCTGAAAACCCCCACTCTATCGGGAACAAGACGTCTCAAATTTGCGCGAAATATATTCCGGGATGTTGTTTTCATTGGGTTTGACTTTTGAGGGACGCCGACCTGAGAGGGTGGCACATATACACAAAGTCATCAGCGGCTTGTATCGCCGCCATTCCGCCGTTGACAAGCGATAATCCACTTTGAAGCTGGCACGCCGCTATTAACCGGATGCCTTTCCCATTGAGATCGTCATGACTCCGTGGCTACTCAGGATGGTGGAAGAAAAGACACGGTGGCTGGTCAGTGGTCCCGGGTCCGCCATATGACGAATCGATCACTCCATTCTCTGACCTTCATCCTTGAGAGTTGAGACATCGATACGCTTTGTGGAACGAGGCATGCTCGATCACTAGCGCTCCCGTGGTATATGCCATGATCAAGAAATCAAGTCGTGTCGCCAACGCGCCATCCGGTGGCTGGGGCGGATATGAATCGACTCCTGGTCGGAGCTTGCGTTAAGGCTCGTCCGCCACCGAACCAGTGAACCAGTGAACCAGTCCGTCGAGGGTTGATCGACTGTTCCTGAACATCCAGATTCTAGAGCTCAAGTATCAAAACATTCACAATCCTCCCCTAGGGAGAAGGGACGCCATGGCGCATGCACGACACGCGTTAAGTCAATCGACATCTTCCGGGCCGTACCGGTCAAAAGGGACTGCTCTCTCCCATGTACGTAGGGTGGGTGAAAGATTTCAATGAAATCTATTGCTCTTGTAATTTTCATGAAAGATTTCCAGACCTCCGGAAATCTTTCATGCCAAGCTTTCGTTTACTAATTTGGATGGCGGAGATAGAGTTAAGATGGTGAGATTTTGAGGAATTTCACGGAGTTCGGTTTTGATGCCTAAGGCTGCAAGGCACCCATATTTAATCTAACCAAGCCAAAATAGGACTAGCGTAAATTTCGGAAAGAAGCAATTTATATGCGTAATTTAAATTCTATCAGTCATCCGAAGAAATATATATAAATTACTGAAATTCAACCACCCTACATGTAGGGGACCTAGTTTTGGTTGAATGCTATTGGATTCTTGCTGCCTTGCTTTCGGCCTGGCCCAACGACAACACATTCCAGGATAAGGCGAATCGCCCAACGCTCCATCATAAATGGGCTCCAACTTCCAAGCCGCTGCAATGACCCCTACGCGGGGATAGCTGGTTAGCTAGGGATGTGACTAATCGCCGCCTTGCTTTCGTGATAGACGAGGACAGTAGCTCTGGTTCAGCAGCCTGACAATTGAATACGCCTCCTGATTACCGTATTACTGAATCTAAACTGTAGCTGGCATACCTACACTACCTTTCCGACGGGATAAATTCTTGAGTCTGACCTGCCATGGAGGGTCTCTGAGATTGTGAGCTCACTGAGCTGAACATCGAATGTGAGGACCTGCTAAGTCAGATGGCCAAGCTTAGATACGTGTCATTGAATCCCAAGCCCATATATTGTCCTTGCCGGTCTCTTCGAGTACTTGGCACCTTTGCCCTCCGGTATCAAATTCCTTCATGCACCGGTTTTCAGTGCGTTGGCCCTTGCTGTATGAAACCTGGGCACGTATGGACACCGAAAGACGGAGAATGCCTGGTGTCATGAGAAGCCATGGCTGAACCCTGGAATGCAAATGGGGACACGCCTCCGGTCTTGAGGCTCTGAGGATGAATGAAAGCCGCGGTGATTCGCAGGGAACCACGAGCGAGTGTTGTTGACACTTGACAGAAAACCGGTTGGAGTTAAGGGTTCAACCGTATATATCCCAGTCCTGTTGTGGCACCATTTCACATTTGCCAGCAGCAATAATCTCACTGCTGTACGACGGTTGAACGGAAAAGCCTGGTCCAATGGATCTACAGCCTATTCAATGCAAAGCAACGACCAGAAAGTGAGACCAAAAATTCCTGGAGGGGGAAAATTGATTCGCGGACGCACGGCTGTATTGATGAGGCACTTCCTGCATGCGTTGCCCTATCCTCGGGAAAGTCAAGCATCGGTTCGGTGACGTCGATCATTAAATGTCAACTATTAGGGCTGTAATTTCTGTCAATGTCGACGTAGGCCTTGTCTATATTGACTTGCACTTGGATCTGTGCCAGGTTGAGCGAACGGGATCGGGAAACGCAATATATTGAAACGACTTGATTGGCCATCCCATGCCTTCATGTCTTCTATTATTCTAATTTAAGATCGCGGCATGGGGAATGGAACATTGTCTGTCTGTCTGTGCAAATGTGACATGTGCGTCTTAAACGATCAGAAATTCATATGAGCTCCTGCAGGAACAATCGTGGAGATGAGCGACGCTGAATTCAGTTCCTGGTTTTTCGAATGGTGAAGGAAGCTGTAACCTTCCCCCCCTGCGTGATGGAACAACCGCCGTGCTGGAACAAAATCGAGGTACTTTGACTTCAAACCCGCTCAGAGGCTCTGTTCATGTTGTAATTCTTATGATTTCATATAGAATAGATTTTCTAGCCATTCTTAAACATCTAGGACTTTGTCAAACGTAAAAATTACAATTGCATGGTCGCCGATCAGCATATTTCAGCGCAGCACTCGGAATACATCGTCGACGCCGCGACAGTATTTCCATGCTACAGCGCCACCATCATATTTCCTATTCAAAAGGTCATAAGATAAATCACTTTAAGCCATAAAATCCCGTTCTAATGTTAGAAGTCCTTTATCCAGAGCATGCGTTGTGTTCGAAGCGATTTCAAACATTTCCACTATAGGTCGGTACTTGCAGCCGATCACACTTCCTCTTTCGGCGACCTATACGGTCACAGGGCTATTACATAATTAAGAATACATCGTAAATAACAATGATCTCGCCGGACTCTCTAATCCTGGCCTTGCCAGACTAACCCTTTTGGGTGTCGCAAGGTGTCCCTGAGAATGGGCTGAGGGTGCCAACCCAGGAACATCAACAATGTCCCTGTGTGGAGAAACACAGCTACTGAGATTCGCTGGCCAAATTTTTAAGACTTTCGACTTTCTAACAGTCTCAGAAGGGCTTGGCGATCATCTCACCATACATTTGAGAGGTATTCTGTCTTTTAAAATTGTGCCCTCCAGCCACAACAATCCTAGTGGCTTGTGTCAGTGCGAGCACCTCGTTGTTCTGCCTCCCAGTCCGCCAACATATTCGAGGAAGAAATGAAATACGGATGGCTAACCCCTAGCACCCGTTCTCGAAGCCATGCACACTCCGTCATTAGACCTACAGCCTCTGTATCTCGACCCTGCGCTTTCCACGTCGACGCCAGGTTGGCCATGCTGGTCAGCGTATGGCTAACCCCTAGCACCCGTTCTCGAAGCCATGCACACTCCGTCATTAGACCTACAGCCTCTGTATCTCGACCCTGCGCTTTCCACGTCGACGCCAGGTTGGCCATGCTGGTCAGCGT